TAAAAATTGACACTTGCAATACATGTGACAAATTTAATGCCAAAATAGAATCTGAAAATAATGCCTCGGTGGAAGAAAAGCTTTTGATTGAAAAAGAAAAGCATTTGATGATTGCGAGAAACTCAAAAAAAGATTTCGAAGACACTTTAATATATGCTAAAAATCCCAAGAACAAGACATTAGTTTTAACTTTTGACTTAGAAAGAGCTCTCGAAACACCACATTTGACTACCAATACAGCATATTATAGAAGACAACTTTGGGTGTACAACTTGTGCATTTATAATGAATGTGAAAAGATGGCATACATGTACGTATGGTGTGAATGCGTAGCCTCAAGAGGATCTCAAGAGGTCGCATCGTGTATCTATCGACATATGAAGCAATTTGTTCCCAACGATACACTTCACATAATTCTTTACAGTGACAGCTGTTTTTGTCAAAATCGGAATATCAATATTGCGTTGATGTTGAAAAGTATAATAAGTCATTCCGATCAATTGCAATCAATTGAGCAAAGATTTTTTTGTCAGTGGTCACAGTTTTAATAGCTGTGACCGCTGCTTTGGCTTAATAGAAAAAGAAAAGAAACGAACCAATGAAATATTCGTTCCTCAACATTGGTATAACGTAATAAAAAATGCAAAAAAGAAAGATCCAAAATTCAAAGTAATTAAAATGCTTCGAAAAGATTTTTTCTCCGTTCAAAAGCTGAAAAAAAAAATAACAAATAGAAAGAAGACAGTTGATGGAAATAAGGTCAATTGGTCAAAAATTCAAAATATACTTTATAAAAAACGGGAACCAAATATGTTATATATAAAAGAATATGGATCAGCGCTATTCAAATCAATATCGTTGTTTAAAAAAGGAACATCAAATGTTTATCGCACAACAAGATTTGGGTTACTGTACAAAGGAGGTCGACCAATTTCGAAAGAGAAATTCGATGATTTGCAATCATTATTGCAGTATATTCCGCAAGAATATCATAATTTTTATCGAACGTTGAAATATACAACTAAACCCAAACAAGATTACGCATTAGCTAGTAGACAATCAACCGACGACGAAGAAATGGATGCAGAATAAATTTTTGTATTTGTTTTTAACAATCAATAAAACATTTTTTGTAAGTTTGGAGTAAAAATGAAAGAGTTTTTTCTGACAATCACTTTACAAACCAAAAAATAATAATAATAATAAATAAATAATAGGTAAAACGTGTTGTAAGACGGTAAGCATTTTATGAAGATAAAAATATTTTCAAATGGCACATATTTTATGAGCACATTAATTACTCGGGAATGAAGGTAAGTACGTACTTATAATGAAAAACTCTTTACTTTGCACCTATTCGATGGGCCAAATCATTTGTCATTATTGCTGTTTTTAAAAAAATTAAATTAAAATGATTCATACAAAATGTTCACAAAAATCTGAAACTGGAAAAAAAATTGAAAAAAATTGAAACCTTCAAATATGATTTCATTGATGTGAGTCGAAAAAAAAGTTCCAATAGAAGAGAGCCATGAAATAGTTTTTAATGCACATTGAAAAAAAAATTAAGGTTCATTTTTATTGAATGGTTTTCTTCGACTCATTTCATTCGGGGAATTCTTCTAAGTTTCATTGTTATTTTTACGTTTCCCATACTTGTTTTTCATCCTCAACGATTCATATGAAACATTCAACAGAGTCTATTATAATTCGGCATTAGTCATACGGTTGTACGGTGTTATCGAGCAGTTATTTCGCTACTTTTATTTTTTTGTCGACTCTTTTATTCACATGCACATGCGGTGTTTGTGCTATTTTTATCTAATCTTATTCCAATTACAAGCTAGAATGTCGTTTGTTACAAGTGTTTTTGGCCAAGTTGACGGAATTCAGAACAACGCAAAAACTCGATGGTGTTGTAAATTAATCGCTTTGATACAAACCAATAATTGTCGATGTTTCAATAACAAACAATTGAGAATGACATAAACCGTGTGATTACGGTTTTTCCACATTTTTTTCATTTTCCCCGATCAAACCTTGGTGAAATAGCCCTAATTGACTCTATCTGTTGAACAAATGCATGAGTTTGAATTACAGCAAACAATGAGATTCGGTACAATCAATTTTTCTCGCCAATTTTCAAATTCCAAAGCGTTTATTGAAAATGAATTGACCAATGGTTAATAATCATTTTCCAACTTTCCGTCGAATTAGCGTCAACGTAAACCGGCCATTGAACATGAACAAATGAACACTGTGCGGAAAAGAACATTTTGCAATCAAATCCAAATTGTGTGCCACTCAAATTCCGTCTTGAATGAAATAATGCTATTATCGAAGAAGAATGAATGGTACTATTACTATTCATTGTATTATACTAAAACATGGACACATCTTCACAATGGTGATTTATAATATATACGCTTGATTTGTAATAGATCTGAAAACACTATTATTTTTAAATGAAACCATTCGGTAAATTAAGTATGTGGGATATAATGGTAAGCCGGGAAGGCGAGCAAACCATAGACTATTACAATTTTAATTGGAACAGAAGAAGAAAAAATTCTTCAATGAATCTTTGAATACCCAGATTTACGTGAAAGTACCTAAATGCTGGTATATTCAACATTAATATATAAACGGCAATACTTTTCAAATCGATAGATTCTTATATGCGATATAAGCTGGTACGGAAATTAATGCATCATTTGATTGTATAAAATAGGACATGAGTATGACATCAGAAATGAATGCTTTTATTGATCGGTATTTGTGGCTATAAAATCAAATCAGTTGTCGAGTGGATATAAATACCACTGCTGCTTGTACTGCTTGTATTTAAAGGCACAATATTCCATTGAATTGATAGCAATACCGTTGAGAATGAAAATGATTAAAAATTGTTTATTGTCTATATCGATATGTCCGATGCGATATTCGATTTGAAAATTTAATTGTCAAGATGAATTTTATATATATTGTTGTTGTTTGTTTACGTTCTGATTTCATGAGAAAAAACAGGCCATCGTTTCATTCGACTTTATTCTGTCTACTTGAATGTACGTACATGTTTAAGAATGTATGGTTCGGTTCTATCACATGTCTATCAGAACGAATCACTGGGAAATGTAATTATTTAATACACATTCTTGTGTTCGTTTATGAATTTATCGATCGTCATTTTCCACCCATTTGGACTTTTTTGTCCTTGGTGGCATTTTCAACGCCGAGTCAATTCATTTTTCCATGAAGGCTCTTTTGTTCATACGGTGCATGTGTGTATAGCCATTTGAACCAGATTTTCAATGAAAAAAAAAACATCTATTTTTATTGCATCACACAAAAATCGATTTCCATGTGTTGTGGATTGTAGCCGAATTGCAAATGAATGCAACGACCCATTCCTATTCTTTTTAGAACGACATTTTCAGTTCCATTCGGCCACTTGCACGCTTTAATTTCAAATATCATATAATTTTAATAATTGAACTAGGAACTGATATAAAGCATTTTGACAAAAATTACAAATTAAATGAGGCAAACTATCGACACGAATGGCAATTTCATTATGACTCAGTTTTGAGTTATTATTGCTGCATTTATAGTCACATAATAAAATGCAATTCGAAATGGATATTAGCAGTTAGTTCATACCTTCATATCTCTATCAAGATCTTTTATAGGTGATAAAAATTTGTAAGCATACTACTTTGAATGTGCCACCAAATATGCCTGAATATACTTAATTAGAATATGCGGCAGAAACACTTCGAAATATGCAATTTTACCCTTAATACTCACATCAAACAGCATACTGCATAATAAAAATATCAGATGTCAGTTTTAATTTGAAATAATAAAATATTCTTTGAAAAATTCTGCATACCAACCATTTTTTTCGTCTTATCTACTCCGGGAATTCGTCCGCTTTCTTGGAAAACTTCCGCAAAATTTTATTCAGATAAAAATGTCATGTATGATGATTGTATATAGAGGAGTGTTTGAACCTCAAATTAATTGAAATGCTTAAAACACAAAATTCAATGCCTAGAAATCAGAAGTGTTCCTGAAAAATAAAACGAAAAATCTGCATGATGTATTTGTTTCGATTGTAAAAGACAAGAAGTATGAGTGAGAGAGAGAGAGAGTAAAAGAACCTGACCGAAAAATTAGAATAACCGAGTAGAGACTATAATTGAGATTGTGATAATGGATTTTTTTTAAGTTAGTAATACTAGAAATTAGTGTGCTGGGTGTCAGCGATAACGAATCATTATGATAAATGTGCTTTGAAAAATTTGTTAGTTATAGCGGGATTTTTTAACAGCAACACTTATGAGCACTCAAATAATTGATTTATCAACTAAAAACAAATGATTGACAACGATTATTTGTCGTACGGAAAACGATATATTGTAACGATGTATTGCAAGATAAAGATATAATATGGAAATGTATTGTTCCGGATAAAATAAAATATTGTTAGTATTTAGTTGTGACATTATATTTATTCATTTTACCAATAATAATCCCGACGACCGAATGAAAAACGCACGATCCTTGCAGCCTTTTATGGAATTCTCCAGCACGATGAGATGCTGTAAATTCGTTTTAATTATTTTACAATTGATTTTTTTTACGTAATTATGACATAAGCATTTTTATAAATTTTAAACAAACAAATGTGACAACAATGTGACCCATGCAGATAATGCATTATCTGAATGATAATTATAATGCATTATCTGAAAGGTAGAAGAAAGGAGTGCATAAAAGACATACACACACACAACGTATTTAATCCATAGATTTAACCAATATTTAACGTCATACCAATAGAATTTGATTTCAAGTCAATTTTAATTATTCCATCATTCGCGAAATGCAATGCCAATAATAAAATTTCATGATATACATTTCATCGAATTTGATGTCTTCCCCGTGTAAAGGAAATAAAACAAAATGTGTTGTACTTAGGGAATCATCCTTAAATTCAGTGCCATTTTTGTATCGATCCCTATACGATAGTGCTAACTGAACGAAATTTTATGTTAAAAAAAATCCATACCGAGTAGCTTACGTAGATGGCATTCAAAATGATGAAGAGATGAAAATACTCGTAAAAATATGTACTTTAATTGTTTAACCCAATGGTACTTACAAATGACCATCGGCCCCGCAGTAGCAATACACTTCGCTATTTTTTTTTTTATTTACACATTAAAATACAAGGCACAAGCAATCTGTTTTGGAAAATTTGAAGATTCAGGATTAATATGAATGGGCTAAAATAGAAGTCGAGTTTTTATTCAAATCCAATCAAAATGAGCCTTTACATACTAAAAACCATATACAATTTAGAAATAAAATAATATGTCACATAAATGAATATATACTGTGAGTTAAACACCAAATAAACAAGAACGGAAAAAATACGAGAGTTAAATTTTCCCAATAAAAACATATATATAAATCTCAATGCTTGTCTTTGTTTATTTTTATTTTGAATTTGAAAAAAAAAAACATATTATAACTTTGGATAGAGACGAAACGGATACGATATGATATTTATATTTGCTGCAGCACGAACCATTCACATAATCATGCGTAAGTACACTCTATATGTATTTTTTTTTCTCGGCGAAATTATCGGAGAAGCAACACATTACTGACTGAGATAAGTAGAATTCTTCTTATTTGTTTTGAAAATATTTTAAGAAAAGAAATGTCGTTGTGTTCCAGCTTATGGAACCAGGTCATAACAAAAAGCAACATACTTCAATGCATTGTTAGCCATTTGTCTCACAATGATAGTGCAACCACCATAGAATGATTTCAACTTACTACCAAACCATTTGGACATTGATTACAAATTGCCCTTTGACCATTTTTTTTTCAAACTGATAAGAACCTACAGTCTTGAACGATCACTAGCATCCATATTCGAGAATTATTTTGAATTCAGTTCGCATTTGAGTCGCAAAACGAAAATATCTATTCGGAATCGGTGGTTTACTATGAAGCTGGGTAGGATTAACTGAACAGAAATTTAAGCTTGAAAAATCAATTTATAATTTTAAAATTAATTCGAAAAAGTTTTGAGTGTGAATGTAAAAAAAATTGTGAAACTTTTTAAAAACGAATTTCAATTTATTGTAGTTTTTTGTCAATTAAGTTTACCAAACTTTTAGTTTCTAACTGAAAATGAAATTAGTCAATCAAAACCTCAACGCAATTGTGTTTATTCTTTTTCATCAATTCTGGTCGAATTGACTTGTGACCCCATCAAATGATAAGGTTTACACACAAATTGCCAATTTCCTGTCGTGAAATTGAAATTGAATGGAATTTGTGCTCATCTCAATTGGAATAATCGTGTCTAAAGTGCAAGGATTTGAGTACAAAGAAATACAACACTCAAAGATTCAGAGAATACACTCAGATGATGATGCTCAACCAAAATGCTTGACAATAAAAAAAAATGAAAGCATTAAATTGTAAACATCAGTGCTCTATCTATGTTTTGATTAGTCACAAGCCACAATGATATACGCTCGAGCGGCTGATATGTTTTTATGGCATTTTAAAATGAATAGCAGTATCGTATGTTGCCACGACATCAGTTCCAAACACATTTGTCTTCCAGGTTCAAAAGTGAATAAATGAGTGAAAAACCAGTGTTAGCCAATGACATGATGATAAAAGTTGGCAGAGTTTTCAGTTTGAACGGAAGTTTGTTTTTGTACTGTTTGTGAACAAACATATTTTTATTTTATTTTTTTCAGGGAACTTACCAAGATAAGCTGAATGAAAAAACAGCAATAACGTAAACGGAATGAAATATGCATTCAAACATACAAAAAAAATATAGTACGAAGTTCATTGATTTGTTCGATGTGATTGGTGCACAAATTAAATGACTATACATTATTCAATTTAAAGAAAAAGTGATTAAACGCATTGACGTATGCGTGTAAATAGCACAAACTATACACAAAACAGTGATGATAAGAAAATACTTTAATAAAATGGATGCAATCAGCATCGGTTTAATCGTTGCCATAATATTTACTGGCTGTTTGGGTGAACGAGCAAGTATGTTTATTTTCAATTCAATTCAAACCTTCCAAAAATAAAACCATTTTAAACCGCATATCACTATTAAATATAATATTACTATAACTCTCTATGTTATTAGATCCACTGAAAGACCCAAATATTTGCGGTCGACCGCAATGTGAATTGGAGAATACAAAATTTAATTACTCGCAAAATATTCGTTATATCTACGACTATAATTCACATGTCCGATCGGAGTTTGATGGCAGTGGTCAAAATACGTCGAATATTTATGTTTCGGCAACGGTTGAATTGACATTCCCAAAGAAATGCGAGGGAACTCTGAAAGTCATTGACGTGAAATTAAGAGAGCGTCCAATTGAAGAAGAGGCAAATGGTATAGATGATGATTCAATAAAATTGGATAACTTACATACCAAATCATATGCATTTTCGGCTGACATACAAAAAAATGATTTGAGGTAAATGTTTGAAGAACAATAGAAACGTGAGATAATAGTAATTTCATCTGATTTGAATACATGTATTACTAATTCTCCATAAACATGAAAATTGTCTCAGTTTCAATCTTCACTAATGATTAAAAAATGCTAGATTCTCATTCCATGACGGCATCATCGACGAATTATGCCCCGAAATGGACGAACCAAATTGGGTCATAAATTTCAAGCGAGGCATCTTATCGTCATTCCAAAATTCAATGAAACGATTCGACATCGACTACAAAACATTGGAAACGGATATATCTGGACATTGTAATGTGCAGTACATGGTCGATGGTCCATCGAACACCAGCCTTTTAATACAAAAGCGTAAAGATATCACATCGTGTATTAATCGTTACAAAACGAATTCAATTCTACAAACGACACCGTACGACTTTCGAAAACAGTATTCTGTATGGCCAGTACTGCAATCGACAAGTTATTGCAATGTAAATTCAGCATTTTTCGCATATGCATCGCACTTATTTCAGGGTAATAATGAATTTTCAATTGCATTTGCAGATAACTCTCGACCATAATTTATACCAAGCTGTAAGTTGCTATGAACGTCATCAGTTTGTGCCATTTTCAAATAGTGGCAGTGGTGCAGTAACTACATCCACCATTAGTTTAGTACTGTCAGAGGAATTACAGTACAGAGTTGAAGAGTCCACCACCGATAAGGAAAATGCCATTAAGAAACGCGAAAAACTTTTATTTAATCACTATCCAACACCAAAGCATACAACCGGTGAAATTAAAAAGGCACGCCAACTACTGCAACAAATGTGCAAGTATGGTTTTTGCAAAAGAAAAAAAAAACGAAGAATATTCCCGCAGCAATAATAATGACAATGGTTTCTTTCTCTAGGTTTGGTTTCCCTGATATAAAACGACAATTCATTGATGTATACTCGAAGTTCTTGCAAAATGCACGGCTACTTTCAACCGCGGCACTTCATCAGCTTTTTTCGCGTGCCGAGAGCATTTGCAATAATAATGATAACGGAAAGTGAGTTTGTGTTCGTTTAATTAATTCTCTCTCTTTCTCTCACTCTCGATGCAATAGGCACATTGTAAAATCGAAAGTAATTGCATGGGGTCATAATTTTTTTTAACTCGTTTGTTTTTGCTGTTGTAGAAATCATATTCTCGAGAGTTTGCCGTACATTGGGAGTACAGCGTCCGTTGAGATGATGGCACAAGAAATAATTAAAAAGTCCATTAGCAACGATGTTGTTCAAAAATGGTTGACATCAATTTCATTCCTTCCCAGGTAATTGAACTTCGTTATTTGATATATTATTTATTAATAAGACGACTGTAGTTGCGATAAAAAGTATGAAACTAAATTATGTAATTAATTATGATTTTTAATGGGTTTATCACATTTTACAGGCCAGACGAACAAATGTTAAAAGCTCTTTTTACCGTTTTGGAACAAGAAATAAACAATACGGAAGCAATATACATACTTTCAACAACTGCTGTTGTCCATACATACTGTCGCAACCATCATGATTGTGATGAAAAAGCTGAAGTAAAGAAATACATTGATTTCTTGGAAACACAATTACGTGAAGAAATGAAAAAGAATCTGTTGGTGCGAGCAAATCGAGAAAAGGTCAGTTTCTTCATCTTATTTATAATTGTTGTGTATTTCTTTTAAAGGGGGAGAAAATACCTACATCGGAACACTTTTCGATTTGAAAATATCAAATGAAAAGTTTTGTGTGTATTTTGTTATAATTCGAATTGTTTTAACCATTGAAAATACATAGGCGATAATTTTACTGCGTGGTATTGGAAACATCGGTTACATGTCAAAATCGTTCCGATACCAAATGCGCGAATACATTGAAAGCAACGAAATTCCAACCGAAATTCGATTAAATGTGGTGGCAGCACATCGACGCACTGACTGCGAAAAGAATCGTGATTACTTTTTGGATACATTCCAACGAACTACAATGAATTCTGAAATTAGAATTGCTGCATACTTGGAAACTATGAGATGTCCAGACTATTTAACTGTTAAACAAATCAAAGACATTCTTCAAAACGAAGAAGTAAATCAAGTCGGTTCATTTGTGTGGTCACATTTAAAGAATTTGGCCAAATCAGCGTCACCCGTTCGTGTTGCTGCGCAAGGCCTTCTTCAAGATGATGATTTGGGGAAAAAATATCGGCTCGACTTCCGAAAGTTTTCACATAACTTTGAACATAGTCTTTTCTTTGATGAATACAATGTTGGATTGAGCAGCGAATCGAATTTAATTTTTGGCACCGATTCGTATATGCCACGATCTCTTACATATAATTTTACCGTTGATTTATTTGGAGAATCGATTAATATTTTCGAAGTTTCGGCTTATATGCAAGGTTTTGAGCACATGATTGAAGGAATTTTCGGACCAAAAGGTAAAATCTAATATTTAAAAAAAAAAACACACAAAATAAAAATGATTTGTATTAATTTGAAGGTGCATTAAGTACAAAGGGATTCTCAGACAATGTTGAAATGGTTAAGGAATATATCAAAGAGAAAATTTCACCCTATAAAGGTATGCTATCAGTGTTAAATGATATTGACATAGATTCAGAGCAAAAAGCAACAATTTAAACAAAAAATCTTATTAATGGAATTTATTTCCGTTTCTCAGCCGAATATGTAGATAAAATGAATTTAAGATTTCGTCGAGACAGTGAAAAGCAGCAAAAAACACCAACAACAAATGAAGAGGAATACGAGTTGGAAAATGTAGATTCGGATAAACCAAAAACTGATTCTGCCACCCATCTCCAAAATGATGTAAAAGAGCTCAACTATGACATCAAGTAATTGCTTTTTCTCTTTAATTGCCTGCTGTCGATTTCTTTTTGTTTAGTCTATTTATTTCAATGTCTTTTTTTTTCAATTTGTTTTGTCATTTAGATATAACATGAATAGTCCTCGTGCTGCTTTTGGTTTGAAGATGTTTGGAAATGACATAAAATACAAATCATTGGAAGATTTACGTGAAGTATACAGTCTTTTCAACGATTTAAATCCAATGAATTACTTGAAGCAATTGTTGTCGGGCAAAGAGGTTATCTACACAAAATCAGGCGTATTTCTTGATGTCTCATACGAAGTGCCATTAACATCTGGTTTTCCGTTGGCTTTGCATGCATATGGTGCATCATCGATTGATTTACGTGCAATGGGATCATTGCAAGGCGATAGATTCTGGAACAATCCGAACTTTTCAATAAATGGCAAACTAAAACCCAGTGTATCGTTGGATGTTATCGGAACGATGCAATCCGATTATTTCTATGGAATATCGGGTATACGTGTTAAATCAAATTTATACTCGAGTTCATCGGTCGAAGCAAAACTTAAAGTTGATGGTAAAAATGATGTGTCACTACAATTTAAATTGCCTCAAGATCGAAATGATATTATCAGTGCTCGCAGTGAATTGATTGTATTACAACATGAACATGAAATCCGTCAAATGGGAATTGCAAAGCGGTATGAGAACTCAACTTGTACCTATCCGGTTGTGGAACGAGCGGTTGGTTTAAAAGTGTGCAGCGACTACAGTTTGCCTGATGTCAGCAAAAGTGAACGAACGTTGCCGAGTTTGTTGTTGTGTGGCCCTATAGACATTGAAGTTCATATTGACAAAGCCGATGTGAGTGCAAAAGTCTTTTCAATTGAATACAAATGGATTGATGCACCCGGTGATCGATCGAGTGGAACATTTACATTTCAAACTCCAAACACAGATATATTGCGCATATTTAGCGCGAATATAACAAAAGAACCGGACAATTATAGTCTAAATATGAAATTTGAAAATGGAAATACAACACACTCAGCAACTGCATCGTATAAGAATACCGCCGATGAAAAATTAGTTGAAGCCAACTTATTATTTGATGGCAGAAAAAGTTTTGCACTCGAAATGGGCATGAATCGAACAGTAATCGTGCATGGTTGGATTTATCATCCGCGATTTTTGTTGGCCATAAATAATGACCAGATTGCTCGTTTATCGGGTACGGTGAAAAAATTCGGAAAAAATAAAATTATGCAATACGATCCGAATTTGGAATTTGTAACGAAACAGTTCAAAGCAAGCATGACCGGTTACATAACAACGACAGAGAGTAAAATATCCACAAGACTGTTAGTGAACTACAAATTTATGGAAAGCAAACAAGAAATTATCGATTTTGAAAGTGAAGTCGAGGGTATGCACGATGGTTATCGAACATCACTTGTTGGCTCGGCCAAATGGAATACGACCGCATATCAAAAATACAATTTCAAAGCAAATGTCAATTACAAACGCGTTCTTGGTCATATTGAACTCGGATTGAATGTAAATAATGCAGTTGATTTTATCGATCCACGATATGATTTGGGCATACGTTTAGCATTGATTAAAACCGAACCCGATGACAAAGAGTTCAACTCACGTACAAATTTCACAATTGAAATTACACGACCCATATCGAAAATTAATTATAAGTTCATGGTCAAGTAAGTAACTTATATAACATGGTTTTGAATCAATTATTCGTTAATAATTCAATTTTTCATTATATTATAGATACAATACAAAAATGAAACGGGGACCGTTACACAATATAATGCTGCTGTTTCGATATGCCGAAGGAAAGGAAGCCACGATAGTTCTATCAGCAATGCTACCGTCAATCTATACACGAAACATTGATTTTTATTTGAACGTATCAATTCCTGGATTTAATTCGTGTACAGCTAAATTTCAAGCAATTGAACGAACCAAACGATTGCAATATGACGTGAGTTCAACACATTTCACAGCGAACTTTTAGATTGGATTTTTTGCTAATAAAAATATTTCTATTCCAATAACACACAGATAAATGTTCAAGGTACTTGGTTCACGGGTCACACTGTGTCCATTTATGGCACCTATGATGATAAAAGTACAACACAAGAGTCAAGTCATCAATTGAAATTGTTGGTAAAAAGTCCACATTTTAATGAAACAACAATTTTGGGGCGATACCAATTAAACGAAACGATAATGCGAATTGAAACAAACGTTGATTATGGCGAAAATCCATATGCACTAGTAATCGGTCACAATCATGTTAGCTTTTATGAACAAAGTATTTACGGTGAATTGAAAATCTTGGAGCGAAGCTACTGGGTTAGTGCTCGGCTGAGCGATGAAAACTTTAGAAAACTTTCGATTGATTTACACATTGACCGGTGAATAATTTTATTTTTTGACATTTTCTTTCGATTTAATTCTTTTCAATAATTAATTGGTGCAATGTTATCTATATTTATAGTGTTCGGGAGATTCGCTTAATCATCGGCGGTCAATCAACGCCAAAAAAGAAAGAATTCGAAGTGAAAATCAGCTGGGATTCGAATCGTGATCCAACGCAAGAGGTGAGATTCGTTTTTGTGTAAAACCTTTCGTGAATTTAATTGAAATCAAATTTTTTTCTTGGAATATGTTTGATTGTAGCTATTTTTAAATGCTGATTTCAACACTCCGAAATACAAAACATACGATGGTGGATTCACAATTTCCTATCCTGCTCGAACGTTTAGCGGTTCATTTGATTTGGCCATTCCTGGTCCAACATATAGCGGAAATGTGAGTCTCGGTTGGCAATCAAATGAAACCGTTCACTTGTCATTCGATTCAGGCGCAATTTATGATCCCATTCGTCATTTTTGGATAGATGCACGTTTAAAGACTCCATTTGTTGGTTGGCAAACCAATCAGCTGAATGCTCAACTATATCAAGCAAAGAATCTTCTGTCGAGCAATGCAACGATACTTTGGGCTGAAAGTCAACAATTTGTTTTGGGTGCATTGACTGATTTTGAGTTCGATGATCCGAAAATTCGATGCGAAGCCAAATTACTTGTGAACAGTACGGTGAAACAGGTGCCAACAATCAATGCTGCATTCAAACATCATCAGGATAAACTCCATTACATAACAGACATTTTAATCCATCATGCTGCACAGGAGCAAAAACCAAATATCTTTGCAATAAAATCAATATGGCAATTACAATCGAATGATTTTTACAGTAATATTTCCGGATCGATGATGATGCAAACACCTCTAAAAGGTTATTCCAAAGGCTCTTTGGCTACCAAATTTACCTTGAGCTCAACCAAAGCACTGAAAGGTGCTGCCGAGTTTGAGTTGGAGGCAAAGAAATTTACTTTGGCCGTTGATGGAACGGTGAAAAAGGTGACAGATTGTATGTTGACTGTAAATATTACAACGCCCATTGAAAAATATCGAAATATTATTAGCCGTTTGGGATTGATTAATCGAAAACGTCATTTTGTTGCCGAAGTTCGAGCTCCGAACGGAGCACTTGGTATCGAAGTTAAATTCGCCGTGGAATCAATCAGCAACTTTGATGTCATCCTCAATTTAGAAGCACCGATTATTCTAAGTTTGGATGCATCAATTGATAGTTTCAAGAAAATAATGCTAATCGGAAAGTTGGGACCGGATATGGTCGATTTTCGAGGTGGATTAAATAAATTTGTGCTCGGTTATGTGGGCGTTTCGCGAAAGACATCACTCGAAGATTTTGAATATTCATGGAAAGTCTATACACCACTTGATCGATTTGAAGAGAGCAGTTTGGTGGTGAAATACATTCGAAAATCTGTATTCGATATGGAAATTATGCTGAAATTTGCACAAAAGAAATTGGGAATAATTGTCAATGGTAAACCAAAACAGAAATTGATCAATTTGCCAAAGGTCGAACACTCTTTGCCATTTAAATCACGATTGTCCGATGATTTTGATAAATTCTCACAGTACTTTGTACCGGAGGTTGATTCAAGCGAAGACGACGACGATGATGCGGAAGAGGATGACAGCGATGAAGATGGTAAGATGGTAGTGAACTGTTCTTGACAGAGCTGTTATTGGCACCATATGAATTTTCAAATGCCACATCTGGATATAGAAAAGAGAAAATGACCGCACTTCCGCGGTGCCCATAACAGCTCTGGTTCTTGAAGAAAGTTTGATTTTTTAAAGTAAAAAATTCCACTGAAACATTTCTCTTTTCAATTTGTGCGCAGATGACTGGAATTTAACGGGTCACATGGAACTGAATACAATTATGTGGCCAACAGTTTCTGGATTCTTGGATATTGAAGACATTGATGAAGAATACTACATAATTCGAAGCTCATTGAATCTACCGGCTGGAAATGTTGTGCTCAACGATCATTTGTATTTCCCTGATTTGATGCACATTCGAAACTCCTTGCAAATGACAACACCTTTCAATGCATTCAAAGAAGTTGAGTTCCTCTACTTACACAGTGCGAAATTCGGTCATTTTTATGTATCAGCGCTAGAATTATTCTACAAGAACATCAACAGTACAAACTGGGTTGAATTGGGTTTCAATTCAAATTACACGAAAGTGCTTGATGTTGATATAAAAACTCATGACATTCAATTGAATATGTTCCTCCCGTTTGAAATATTGCCACGTGTTGGTGTAGCCGTTGGTATTGAATCCGGTGAGTCAACTTACAAGGCAAACGTTTCGGGTCGTGCAATGGACACATACATATCATTGGCGGGTGACTTGGAGAGCGATACAAATTTCATCGACCTAAAAGCTGGATTGGCCTTAGCCTCTCTGGCTATACCACATTATGAGCTCAAAGTGATTTTCAAGCAAGATCTTTCTGATTCAGAAAATACATTGATCTTTGGTTTCGATGAAGATTATTATGATCGAACTTTTTGTCGCATCGAAAATACTTGGAACACCGAACCAAATTTCATAAAACTCAATACCAAAGCATCCACAAATTCATTTCCAATTACATTTTTCGAATCATCAATGGTATTGAATCGTTCAACAAACTTTATGGTGTTATTAGACTTAAATTTGAATACACTGTCAAGACGAGGTATTGCATTCCACTTGAGTGCAAAAAAACGTGGCGAGCATGCCACTTTTGAGTTACAAACTCCAATGCCAAGCTTTGCAAATATTACAATGTCAACGATTTTACGTCAGATTTCACAGAAAAATCAATATTTGGTCACCGGTAGATTGACACAGAACTATGAAATCTACAATGTGAATGGAACAGTTGAATTCAATGCCAACATTCCGGTCAGTTTGGATCTTCGATTGCGGCCAGTTGCACGTGATGCAATCACATTTGTTACGTATTCTTTAAGCCAAAAGAGAAACGAACATCAAAAGACGATCAATGTTCGAATATCTGAATTTGAAAAATTCTTCGAAGTGAACAGTGTCATCTCAATCTTTAGCAAAGTGAATTGGAACATCTTAACAACAATTGATGCATCGCCCGGTTTCCTTTCGAAACGACTCGATATGAATCGCTGTACATTTAAATCGTCTGTGAAACCAGAGAACGATGGAAAATTGGCGGGTGAGTTTTCTTTGGTCACTCCATTGCGGTCGTTTGGAATCGATAACTTCAATATCAACGGCAGTGTTTCAACGAAACCACATTCTGGTTTTGTTCATCTTTTCTACGACTTTAGTTTGGGGCATGGGCATCTCATTTCCAAATGGACCTTCATTTTGTTGGAGAATATGGAAGGAGTTTTTGATTTTAAATCGGAAAATGAAGTCGGTGTAAGAACATTGAAAGTTGGCATAAAATATGGTAATCCGGGTAAAACGAATCAACGTCTCAGCTATGCCGGTCACGTTGATGTTGACTCAAAAATGAATTTGCAAACCGACGGTTCGGTGATATTGCTTAGCAAAACGGATGTGAGTGGAAGCTTTTCGATTCGTCTTCCGGCACCAGTTGATGATATTTATCGATTCGGTGGCAGCTATCGTGGTAATATTATGGAATCGCCCATTCGGGATGTTTTAGTTGAAACGAAATACGAATCGGATAAAGAGAAAAAACGATTTGTATCACGTGCACAATATCGAAATTTAATGGATTTACAAACACTATTGCACGCTCAGTGGGGTACCAATACATTAAACAAAACATTCGAAAGCAATTTACAAATGCTACGTAAAGGTATACGACGCGAAGTATCGGCAAGAGTGAAAACGCCGTACTACAAAGAAGAAACAGTTCGAGCAACTGGATTCTATGACAACGATAAAGTTCATCAAATTTTAAAGTAAACTAACAAGAATAGAAAAAAAGAAGATTATTTCACATTTTTCCATTTTTTTTTAAATTGCAGTGCAAATATAAACTTCCCGTCAAGTCGTGAAATCGCCAGCACCCATATTGAATTCGCGACCATGTCAAATGTAAGAGGGTTCGTTAAATGTGTAACACCATTCCCGAATGTAACTTGGATACGAACGGAATTGAACTACACCACTCAAGGGTAAGAAAAAAACTGTGCACATTCTTTCCAATATTCACAGTTTTAATGTTTTTTTTTTCTTTCATATTTTTATTTTTTGTGGCTTTAGTGGATCATCACGTCGATACATCAAAACGGCATGGCCATCCGATTTTGCCTACTTTGATATGCAATCGACATTCAGTTCGAAAAACTTGAATCGTAATCATCAGGGTGAAATCAATATGGAAGTTCCATTGGCATCGCGTCACACGGCCAAAATCCAGTACGATCTCGAAGAGTTAAAAACATTGACAACTGGTCATTGTAATGTAATTTACAACACCGATAAAGTTTTGGATGGAACATATACGTGCAACGCAGAGTCACGTGCTGGTTATTCGAAAGAAAGCACAGAAATTTCATTGGATAATACATTCTATCCGGCTGGAATAGCATACGTACATGAAATGCAATATCAAATTGCGGATTCACCATATTTCGATATGAAACGTGTTGAATTGTATGAATTAAAGGATAGCAATCGATTTAATATCACCGGTGAATTGCATGTGCACACAAGCGATACTGGTCAAGCATATAAAATTGTCGCAATTCATCCAAATCGAACGATTATCATAACATCTGATTACGATTCACATGACACAACTCTGAATCAAAAACTAAAAGTACTACTCTCGTCGGATATGTGGATTGCATACGATTTTATGTTGACAAATTTAACAACATCAACGAAAGATTCACAAAAGTTTAGCGTTAGTTTGCAGTATCCAAAACGAAATCTCTCCACAAGCGGTTGGTATTCAATAACTGATGATGTCTTCGATTCAGATTTGGCATTCAAATGGACAAAGGCAAAAACAAAATCTCTCGATACTGGATACGATGATTACAATTACTATAAATCATCCGAAGAAACGAACGATAATGAAGAAGTGACAGAGAACGAAGAGAAAGTAATAAATGCAGCATTGACTTGGCGCAATGAACCGTTACAAATGTTTGACAAATGTAATCAGACCATTTTGCTTGTCGTCAAACATCCATCATTCCGTAAAGATGTAACATTCAATGCAAATTACTATCGAAATAACATTGATCTAATTCATGGCAAATTAACGGTCGACTATCATGAAAATCCCGAACATTTGTTAACGCTTGAGGGTGGAGTTACGGACTCAACACAAATGCATAACCATCGAAATTATTCGATACAAGTGCTTGGTTTACATGAACAATCCAAATTCGATTTGTATGCATTGGGTTCGGTTACAGCCAAATCTGGTGTTTATGAAACGAACAATTTTGGCCGATACAAACGAGGCTATTTACCATTGCAAGAGGGCCTTTTGAATGCTGGCATTGACATTCCACAAAATGATATTCGTTATCATAAAGAAACACCGCACAAAACATTTTACGTTTGGACAAGAGCAAACGGAGAATTTCCCGTTTATACATTGAATGGAGTATATTTGGATAGTCCAGATGTAAATACAACCGCACATTTCTTTATTGACGTTGATGAAAGAGTCGTTAAATTAGATGCTAACTTTACACCGGACGCATCGCAAAATTTAAGAATGCTTGGAATTATTCCGGATGCAAGAAGCGCATCATTTGATTTGTGGCGTGATTATGAAGATATTCGTATCGTTGATGCTGCTTATTATTTGCGTATGAACCATTCTCGACTAATTACCAGTCAATTGATTTGGCGACCTAAATTGAGAGCCGATCTCAAGGTAATTGTTTCAAATCGACCTTTTTTTTCTTGTTTAGTTGATATTTTTAATTGATGGATTGTTTATTTTCAATCGATAGGATGGTTTCAGAAAACTTACAACACAAATGTACGATTCATTCTCGGAAAATGTGGATTTTTGGATCAAAACATTGTATTTAGAAGCAAATGAAACGGTTGCCGATATTTGGTCAAACGCACGACCATTTGCCGATGAATTCATTGATGACATAAGGTGTGTCAGAATCTATACATATATTTTCTTCTTTTTTTGTGGTATTAACTGCATCTATTTTACATTTAGCGGCTTGACTGTAATCGGTGAAGACATTGAAGAATTCCGTAATCTTTTGAATCAATCTTATGAAGCAAACGATTTTTACATCAAAACAATGGTCAACTTTACTCTCACGGTACTCGATGAATTGGCCATTCGAAATCATATTGGTTCTGTGCCGAAAATTTTAAAGGAAATTTGGCATGTTCTTGGTGATTCCGGCCTAGCTTTACGAAAGAGTATAATGTGGTTAATTGAAACGATAAAAACGACATACAAAAACACGATTGACACACTTAATCGAATATTCCACGGTGAGGCAATGAGCTATGTTTCATCAATCGTTGAGAAGGCAATATACAAATATGATCGTTTCATAAAAGACTTGCACCTCTCGTTTATCAAGTATGTGCAAAATATCTGGAATAGTTTCAGTGATTTGCTAATGACTTACTGGCGCGGAATGTTAGAACGTATTCAACCGATGGCCATGCGGTTCGTGCATTATTTTGAAAGTTTATTGTGGGACATAAGTCAGGAGATTTTCGAATTTTTGCACAAACACACCAACGATTTGGTGAAATCACCATATTTCGATACAGTAACAAAGTTCATGCGAGATTTGGATACAGTTTATCGTGACATTCAAACAAACGATGCAATTACAAATATCAAAAAATATTCAGCGCTTGCATCGGTTTTCTTGCGAGAAAAATATTTTAAGGTGGTGCCATTTGGAAAAGAATTACAAAAACTGATGAATGAACTAATTGATGAAATCAAAAAGTTGAGAGAACAAGAATTGGTTCACTTTATGATCACCCGAATCGACGAATGGCAAGCGAAAGTTGCATGGTTCGCCGAGGAATTTCAATTAGACAAAAGGTTGCAGCTATTGTGGCAAATTGTTTTAAATAAAGTCACTTCATACGAACAGACTGCATTGCAAATGGATGATAAATATCGTGAGGCCAAAACGAATTTTATATTCGATCCGAATGCCGGTTTGATGAAGCTTGAGCAAAAATTACCAATGAGTTGGCATGCATTCAACGAAACGCCGATTTTTGAAGAAATTTCCGAATTGCAAATGTTGACCAAAGTATTCCGGCTATTCAACGGTGTTAACATTTCGTTGGTGTCAATTGACGCTATTGAATACTATATCAATCCGTACGTTTGGCTGCCACCATTTAAAGCACGATCACTTTTGATTGGTTCGAGACACTATTTGACATTTGATAAGCGCTTCATTTCGCTCAATCACAAATATGCGTATATTGAGAACAACCAGAAACCCGATAAATGTTCATATGTGCTTGCCAATGATTTCGTTGATTTCAATTTCACACTAACTCAAGAACCGTCGATTCTACGATACAATAACAAACTCTTATCCACACGAAAATTGGCCATTGTAAGCGATGGCAATGTTATTGATGTTGACTTAATCGGAGCAAATATAAGAATCAATCGAAATTCAACGACAGCACTGCCCCTTCAAATTGGAGACACAATCATCTATCGTGATTGGGATATTTTGATAATTCGATCGAAAAATGGATACGAACTTAATTGTAATCTTCAGTTTGATTTCTGTTGGTTTGAAGTTAGCGGATGGTACTATGGCAAGACTGCAGGCATCTTTGGTACACTCAACAATGAAATCTATGACGATTTCTTAACATCCAAACACATAATCACCAACGATACCACTGAATTTACACAGAGCTGGGCAATAAACCATGGCGGACAAATTGAAAATTGCAAACATGAATTGAACGATAATGCCAATCATGTTATTTCAAATGAACTTTTGAATCTTTGTGATACATATTTCCTCAGCAAAGTGTCACCATTTGCCAATTGTTTCCCGACCATCGACTCAAGACCATTCTACGATATGTGCTTGGATATGGGATCGAATTCAATTACAAATTTCACGCATAATGATCATCCAGCGCAAAAGGGAGCCTGTGCTGTTGCATTAGCATATATGGAAAGTTGTAATGGTGAAAACATTCCACTTAGAGTTCCGGAAATTTGTTTACAGTGAGTTTACACAAATTTTTACCGTTTTCATTCGTGAACTAATTTCTACTATATTTTCAATAATAGTTGTAATTTAATAAACGGATCGTATGTTGCTGAAGGAAACATATTTGAGTTGTCCGGAGCAGCAGTACCACAAACAACTGATGTTGTTTTCATTGTCGAAGCCAAATCATGTAATCAAAACTTACCCGTCAAGAAAAGTTTGGCCACCGTTATCTCAAGCTTGGAAAAATCATTCAATGATGTTGGCCTTTCTAATGTTAGGTAAGTCAAAATCATAAATTTCGTTGAGAGTTCAATTTTAATCATTTTTGTACTTTGAAATTTTAGATATGCCGTCGTTGCATTCGGTGGTGAAGGAGCATTCGAACATCCGCACAGCATCGTGTATAACAATGACATTTTCACCGATAGCCAAAAGATTCGGCATCACTTTGACCATATTAAAACCGGCAATAGCAATTCCAGTGATATTTCTCGTGCCATCAAAGTCGCTTCGGAGCTCGTTTTCCGACCTGGCGCATCGAAGACATTCATTCTAATGCCATGTTCTAATTGCAACGCTTCTGGCATGCATGTGAGTGACAAAGAGATATATTTTTTTTTGTTTTTATTTTAAAAGAAAAACTAATCGAAATTATTTGTTCTTCTTCTTTTAAAAATAGTTTGATTATTCATCAGTTTTGCAATTCCTCTTGGAGCACAATATCAATTTGCACATATTAATGAATGGCAATTTCGAAACAAAGAAGCCACGAAATGAAAATAAAATCTTTGGCTTTGACAGTGGGCATGCGTATACGAATAATTATCTTAAAGAATCGAATGGCAACAAAGAATTACGGACCGAAATTATTTTGCCAAAAAATACGCTCGGCTGTATCGTTTGGGCAATTGAAACGAATGGCACCATATTTACAGCCAACAAACTAAAGCCAAATAATCGCATATCGTTGATTAAAAAATTCTCCGATGTGTTTGCAAAGCGTGTTGCAAACACGGCTGTTCCAAGTCCATGTCAATCGTGCGAATGTACAGGTGAAAATACTGGAATTGCCTTTATAACATGCACCCGATGCGACTATCCAAATGTCGATGATGATGGTATTGAGTCATTTTTGGAAGAAGAGGACCTAGCGTATGATACTGAGGGGTATAGCGATTGATATCATCAAAATCGCTTGTCATAATCTCTATGTTATAAATTAATGTCATAAAAATATGAAAAAGGTCTGATTTTATTTTTAATAAAAAGTGTTTATTTTTACTTGATTTCATCAAAAGAAAAAGAAAATTCAGTATACATTGATTCGAATTGTTGTTTTTCTTTTCATATTGCATCCAAAATGGTTAAAAAAAATTTCATCGAATAAAGTTTATTTAGTTCTAACCAAAACGTAAAAATAAAATACGATATTGCATGGAATTGACTTATATCTTCAGAAATTTATCGGAACTAAGGTGTAAAAAGCGAAATTTTCTAACTGAAAATTTAAATTCAATTTAAATAAAAAGGTTGCTTTGATTGTTTCGTAGTGATTTGTTGGTAAAAATCAATCAGATATGTATCAAAATGAATTTTATAAACTTTAGTGAGCTTAGAAACCTAGTTTTGCTCTAATTTTTTTTTACATAGTTATTTAAGATGACATAAATAAAGGTTGTAAGATGAAACAGAAAAAAAACAGCACATTTTCTTTCCATCGAATAGTTAGGAGACGAATCTCGGTTTTGGTATACATTTCAAAGGTTGATTGATCGGCCCAAAATACCAACAATCTAGAGAATACATATTAATAATTGTTATTATTTGAATCGATTATTAGACATTAGGTTTAGTTTTTTTTTCTTTATTTTTTTCTATTTTTGTATTATTAAAATTAGACCATATTTTCTCACAGAGAAATTCCATCACTTCATTACATAAAAAAGCAAGAAAAACTATTCCGAAATAGCTATTAGTTGGCGATAGATTTCTATCTGGAAATTAAAACCAGTTTCATTTCTTTCCATTCGATAGGAACTTTTGTTAACTAGTTGAGAATTGAAAAGATTCAAAAACAAAAACTGAACAATAAATGTAGCAAAAATCAAATTTTCGCTTCGTTTATATGGCGCTTTCAAATGAACCATTTACGGTTAGTTCGGCTAAATGTTTCAATTTACAATGATTAAATTAAACACCAAAGTACAGTGTCTCTAGGCTACTAACAAAATGCCAATGCAAAATGTCCTGTATTTAATTTAATGTCCACGCATATACATTATGTATGTATGCGCGTGTGCGTCTGTGTGTGTGTAGAGAGAGAAAATTCAATGGCATTACATTTTCAGATGGTAAGTATTTGATAAAATTCAACCATTTTCAGTCTTGGTGATGTTTTCTAGATGCAAAACACCTCTTTAAAATACGCGTCATTGACAAACCACGATTTTCTCTATCTTTCACTTTAAACTAAATCGCTTTGCGTAAATTCGTTTAATTTGTTTGTCGCCTCAGAGGCTCACTCTAACTCCACGATTTCGACTGGTACCGGAACTGAAAAATTGATACAAACAAAAATATTTAGTTTACATTCAGAGTGGTAAGGAATGTATTTTTGAATTAACAGCATTTACCTTGTGAGTTGTCCTGTTGGGTTTGGCTTTGCATATTGATTCGAATGCCTGCCAATGAGCTCCTTGGTTTTCGTACTCCGGGTGGCGTTGAACTCTGTTGAAGTAAATCATATCACAATAAACCAATGTTTGACAATTTTCTATTGAATTAAACCTACCTTAGCCATTGGCTTTGGTTTTTTTGCTGGACTCAATGCAATAGGATCGTTGGCTAATCGCTTGCGTGTATCAAGCGGGCTAGGACGATTAACGGGTTTCTGTCCTGCGAGAGATGTTACTTCTTTTATTTGCATTCCAGATTTATTTGCAATCGATGCTGAGGCTGCTGCAACTGCTTGTGATTTAGTTTGTGCTATAATTGGCTTGAATCCCGGCGGTCGTGGTCCTGCTTTCGGTGATAAACTTTGATTACTGTTCAAAATACGTACTCCTGATGTATTTATTGTGGTTGCATTTGATAGTTTTGGCACGGAAACAAGTGTCTTTGATGTGTTTGAATTGCGTGAGCTCAATATATTGGGTTTGGTCACAACCATCGGTATCGGTGACTTTGTGATTGGATGATTCGATGTCACCTTTGTTATTGCCAACGGAACTGGAGACGATGAGTTCGATTTGCTGAGTGTTCGACTTTGTTGTGGCGTATGCACTTTCACCTGATTCACTTGCGGCGTAATTGTCATCGAACTTCCCGAGTATTTCGATACATTATTCGGAATCGGACTTAATGTAATACTATTGTTAACACCAGTAACCGGGGGTTTTGCTGCAGCTGCTGCTGTCGGTGTTATATTTCGTGCTGTCACCGTTAAGGCTTTGTTTTTGTTAATCGCGGCAACAGCGTCGTTTGTCGGATCTACAGATTTCGATGAAGTCGATTGAATTGGTTGCTTCCGAATGATTGCCGCTAACGGTTGTGACTTCGAGCTGACGGATGATGTTGCTGAGATTGGATTTTGTGGTGATTTATCTTTTGCTATTAAAACAAATTGATTATATTAATTTAAGTGAAAAGCTATGAAATTATTGAAAATTTAAACCTACGCTTGGTATTCGATAATAAAATTGAATTCGTTGTGTTTTTGCTTGTTGAAGCAGTAGATTGATTGATAGGTTTTTGTGATGGGTACACAATGCCCATATTGGTAGAGATCGTCATACCGCTGGTCGCAGATTTATTGTTCGTTTTCCGTACACTGTCAATGGCTGAACTGACGGTTGAACTCACACCATTGCTGATGGATTTATTTTGCGCTTGATTTTTTGCGGTCGTATCGGGTGATCCGCGTGCTTCAGCATTTATGGTAGCCGCATTTTTAATGGTCAAATGACGTTCGCTGGTAGTTTTCGTTGGTCTAGTGTCCGTCTTATCAATTGATGATGAAATATTTGTGTCCGTACTTGATTTACTTGCATCATTTTGAAGGTTTGGTGACGTTGAACTGGCGCTTGGCGTAGATCTTTCTCCCGATTTTGTAATGACACTTGTTGGTATGTTAGTAGTACTGAACATCTCTTTTGTATTGCTCATAGTTAAATTACGTGGAATTGATAGTTCTTTTGTGAGCAATGGATTTCGCAAGGCATTGGGTCCTTGTTGTGCACTTGAATTCACTGTCATCGATGTTGTGCTGCTGCTTGGGCTCGTAGCGGACAAATGTGACAATTGCTGTTTTTGCAAATAGGCCATCTGGTTGTAATCGGTGCCGGTAATTGGTAGTGGTGGTGTTTTCGACGACGATGCATTTGCAGCGGATGACGATGACGCCGTCGGATTGTTGGTGCCTAGTGCATTATACAAACTATTTAGATATGACGAATAGCTACTCTTTGATGACGATGAAGTTTGTGCCAAAGACGATAATAGATTATTCGCGTAGTTTGTCGATGATGCATTTGATTGCATCCAATTTCGCGACGATGATGAAAAACTATTCATAATTGGTGACGGACTCGACGCGGATGACGACTGATGTGAAGGCGATAATAAACTCGGATTGCCCTGATTGTAATTAGTCATTGACGTACCGGCTACGTTCATTAGATTATTATAAAATTGTGAATAGTTATCGAAACGCATCAAATCATTTGCATATGGATTGTACGAGCCATACATATTATACGGATAATTTAAGCCCGACAAATTGTTGTAATTATTAAATAAAGAATTCGCGTACGTGCCAAGCCCAGGATAGTTTGGTAACATGCCGAAATTATTACTATATGGACCCATATTCGTTTCATTCTTACGTTTAACATCTGCCTCGTACGCAGCCCATGCATCGTTTTTCTCTTGTTCGCTCAGTTCTTCTTCTCCTTTATTTTCAAGTAATGAATCATGTTCGTGATACTTGTACACCATTTGCGGAAATTGCATTAGCAATGACGCGAGCAAATCATCTTTCGGAACATTGGGCGTTTGTCGATCCTTCATGTTCGGTTTTGTCAAGCTAAAATTGAAGTGTTGATCGAAAAAAATCAATTAGATACAGTTGCTACTTGCGCAGAATACAATTTTAAAATATTTACGTGTAGAGTTCTGTCAATTCGGCCATGTTATAGTGACGATCGCATTGTTGTTCGTCAACGACACGGCAACTCATTGCTTGCTTCGTAACGGATCGTGAATATACCTTTTCCTCCATGGTGCCCATCGATATCAGACGATATATGTAACAAATTTTCTTTTGTCCCAAACGGAATACTCGGAAAATATTTTGTTCTGCAAATAAAAAGTAGTAATGAGTCACATTACAAAACATTAAAGACAAAAAAACGTATATTACTTACGGTCATTTGACGGATTCCATGACGTATCCAGTAGAACAACCCGATTGGCTCCAATAAGATTAATACCTTGACCCCCAGCTTTTGCTGAAATCAAAAATGCTCTTGTTCGTTCATTTTTGGGATCATTAAAGTTGGTAATCATGTTGTGACGATGGTTCTTTGCTGTTTTGCCATCCAATCGGTAATAGTCTTTGCCAATTTCCCATGGACCGCGGAACGTCTACAGTGATTCGATTAGATTTTTGGTCGTTTGAATTTCATATTAAGTATTTTAATTTTGTCAAATATGTACCTCAAGGCCAGGTTTGTTTCCATCTTTCTCTTGGTCGTTGATTAGTTTCATGAAAAATTCTACAACATCAAGTACAGCCACGAATGCCGAAAATATCAAACACTTTTCTTTATTGCGTCGACAACGGGCCAGTATTTCGAACAAAATTTTGAGCTTGTTCGATGGTAAGATGGTCTCCAAATCTTCTTTAGTCAAATGTTGTCGCCACCAATCTGAAGTTACTGACATTTGTCCCGTTTGACTGTCGAACACATCATCCCTAAGTTTCAAAAAGAGAAAAAAGTGTTTGATGTAAAAAAAATACTGGTTTTTATATTGACTGAAAAGTGGTATTCCCAAATCATATCACTTACGGTTGATCGTCATCGCTATCATTATTTGCAGTGGTTGTCGTGGACGTTGTTGGTATAGCTGATTTTACTTTGGTCTTATTTTGGATTGCATTCAAATATGCATTTTCCAATACTTTCGGATGCGTCCAAATCTATAAATAAGCAAAATAATAAAGTCGAAAATCGTTCAATTTTTTTTTTCATTTCAAAAGACCAACCTTCCGCAATACAGTATAGTCTGGAATCAAACTTTTTCCTTTTTGATCTTGGTTCGGTCGGTTTTCCAAGAAAAATTCATACAGATTCGTCTAGAAGGGAAAAATCAATTTGTTGTTAAAGTAAACAAATTTCTCATGATCATAATGCGAGCGAAATACCTGAATTTTTGTCATCGGAATGAACAAAACAAATTCATACTTCTCTGGCAGGAATGATTTCAGTAGAGCTGCTTCTTTTCTCTGCAATATTCATAAAAATTGTATAAAATATGTGGTTCTAACGAATGACATGATGTAAAAATGAAATAAAATGATCCAACAGCTCACTTGAACAAATTTCGAGAGTTTTTTGTGTAGCACGAAAGAGCGCTGTTTCATGTGTTTGATTTCACTCTTGGATGAATCTTTGTGTTGACCACTTTTGATAGGGTTGACATACAAATTGGCAAACTCTTTTTCTGTTCCCAAGAACGATGGCTTTATGAAATTCACCATTGAATAGTCTAGAAGAAAAAAATCAAATAATTAAAAAACCTCGTTTCAAACAGCAAAATTACATTGAAGCTTACATTCTTTGAGATTATTTTGAATGGGAGTTCCGGTGAGTACGATGCGTCGTCTAGTGGAGATTTTGTTAACGGCTGCACTTGTTGTGGACTTTTGATTTTTAATCATGTGCCCCTCATCGCACACAACCAAATCGGCGCCTGGATCCAGTAAATATTTATGAATCTTTTGGCGAATTTTTTCCAACTCATTGGTACTGTACATCTGCAGGCTCTTCTTGGAAGCATGATAGAACACCAGCACTCGGAAGGCTTCATAACCCAACAACAAACATCCAGCCTGTTTATTGCCATCTTTTCCACACTGGCTCCACTCGCTCAACGTTTGCAGTTTTGAACTGATGTCACTGTTGAATAATAGAGATAAATAACAGCAATGAACAATACAATTGACATGAATAGAATTTAACGAAAATAAAAAACAATCTTTTAATAACTTACGACTGTTCCGGGAAATAGAAGACTTTCAATCGTCGAGTTTTTTTAATAGCGCCAAGCCAACGTTCAATTTCCTCCTAAAAAAATATAAAACACAAACGTTTAATATCAATAAACATTTCTTTCCTTTGTAAAACAATGAAAAAAGTGTAAAAACATTTACCTTCCAATTCATCACCGTGCTTTTTGGACAAATGACAAGAACTTTGTCAGTTTTGAGTTGAGTATAACAAATTACTGTGTGCAAAAGTGTGATGAGTTGAAGTGTTTTTCCTAGCCCCATGCAATGAGCCAAGATGCATCCCGAGCCAGAATATTTGTCCATGTTGTCAACACTTCCGTAGCAACAGTCGTACATAAATTTGATACCTTCGACTTGATGTGGTTTCAAGTGTTTCGTTATTTCTGGATGGACAACAATTTCTACATTTTCTTTCGAGTCGACATCCAAACATACTTGATTTGGATCGACATATTTTTCGGTTTCACTTTGCGACTGGCGTTGAGATTCTAAGAACTGTGTTAATCGTTCATTTTTCTTATCCAATCGTTTGAGCCGATCAGCTTCTTCACGTTGTGCCTGCTTAGTATCATCAGCAAGTTGATCGTGTCGCAACAGTTTTCTCGTCACGCGCTTTTCTTTTTCCTCGTCCTCATCTTCGTTGCCATCTTTTTTAGACGTAGACTCGATTTCGAGATCGTCATCCGAACTCACACTGATACACTCAGGTGAAACTCGTGATTTTGTTTGTTTGTTGCGATTTGTTTGCAAAACCTTCGACAATTGAGTTGCGGTTAAGTTGCTTTTGCTTGACTTAAACATAGTTGTGTCAAGAATCTCACTCGAATCTTTTTCACTTGAATCAGCTTCGCTTTTTTGTGTCTGACTGTCTTTCTTCTTACTGCTTTCATTTTCTTCATCGCTTGGAATCAAAATCTGTTTGTCCTTTTCAATATTGGCAAAAATATGTTTACCTATCGTTGACTGGGTTTTTCTCGGTGCTTCTGACACACTTTCCGATTCACTTGCATCGAATTCGATGTCGCTGTCCAGCTCTTCAATAAAATGGTCAATGTTTTTCTCAATTTCTGCATCTTTGGTTTTTGGCTCTGATTTCTTTTCGTTGTCGCTCGAAACTTTACCTGCTTTCGATTTTCCTTCTTTATCTTTCGTGGACTTTTGGCCACTACCTTTCGATTCAGATGCCAGGAATTTTTCCATAATCGACTGGTTCGAGTCAGACGATCGATCAGAATCTTCTGTTTCGGAATAAATACCTTTTCCTGCAGTTCAAATTAAAATAAAATGTTAGAAAACATCCAAATAAAATTAAATGCTCGAAAATAGTTTATTATTCATAAGAAAACATACCATTAACCCTTTGATCGGAGTCCGAATTCATTTCCGAATCGCTTGAGTCTTGCAATAGTTGATCTTTGAACATCTGATTTTGTTCTTTCAAATAGTGTTCGTCCGTGTATTCTTCATGTTCCGACTTTTCATCATCACTTTCAATCGGTTTGTCAGTGTCCGTTGAGTTTGCCAAAAAGTTTTCAACTGCATTTTCTTTTGATGCCTTTGTCTTTGGCTCCAATTTCTTCGGCACAACTATTCCGTTAACTTTTGCCGCAGCATTTGTTGATGCAATTCGCTTGTTTTCAATTGATGTGAAATCCAAAAGCCTAAATAAAAATTAAACACGCGTATATAATCTAGAAAAAGTCAAATATATTTCACATTATACATACTTTCGAATGTCGTCATCATCATCGTCGCCATGGTCTTCTTCGATGAAATCATCACTCAGGATAAACGCATCCGACGAAATGTCTTCTACATCCGTGCTCTTTTTCGTTAGTGCACTATTATTTGACTGTTCACTTTCCGTTGCTTTTTGGTTGATAATTTGTGTGTCCTGTTCACTCAGTTCATTCGATGTGTCCATTTTATTTTGATCTTTGTCACTCAATTGCTGTTGCGACGATATCGATTCACTCAACTGCTCTTCGTTCTTGATGCCGTTTTCAAAGTCGACATTGTCAAAACCAAGAAAATCATTTTCCTTCCGAATAGATCCGTTGGCACTGTTGCTACCGTTTTGATTTATGAGATCGTCTATGTTTTGTGTGACGACAAATGGTTCGTCCATTGTATCGTTTTTGGCAACAGGAAATGAATCTTCCGAGCTTGAACTCAAGGCGGTCGAATCGGATGTGTTACCTTTTGGTTTTTTACGTCGACGTTTCAATTTCGGAATTTTTCGTCGTGACTTGGAGATATCACTGTCTTCATCTGTTGAATGACTCAACGAACGGTTTTCCGATTTATTTTCACGTTTACTTTCAACAGAAGCCATTGTAGGATTGAGTTTTATTGCGACTTTTTTTAGCTCTTTTGACACATCCTCAACTAAAAGCGATAAATTTACACGCAATTTTGAAATAGACTTCTCAGCCTGCGGTTGCTTTTCAATATCCCCCAATTTACTTCGAATCGATGCGGTATCAGTGGCAATTCGATTGGCCATATCGTCAATTGACTTCAATTCAGTTTGCAATTCTGCCACCAAATCACAACCTACGAATGAAAAAATATACATATAAAAAACATTGTTTTATGTTCAAATGGTTTTAAAAGAAACAATATAGGAGAAAAAAGTTGTAATTACATTTAACTTCGCCATCTTTAGGTCCATCGATGCTACTCTGTGCAGAACAATTTACGCCGCCCGCATATTCCATTGGTTTGGAATGATTTGATGAGAACTCGAGACTTGTAATGTCGTTGGCATTTGCAACAGAATTATTTCCAGTTGTATTGCCATTGTTCTGGTTGAGTTGGGCCTTCATGTCTTTTGCACTTTTTTCGATTTTCTCGACCAACGATAAACGTTGTGCGTGCTCTTTGCAATTCGCCAATTGTTTCAATATCTCACTCAAATCGTCGATATTTTTTGAGGTTAATATTTTGCTAGTTTTTGTGTGCACCAAATCACCACCATTCAATTCACCATGATCTTTTGATTTTTCATTTTCGCTTTGTTCTTTGGACTTATTGGAATTCGTTTCACGTTGACTTTCCAATTCGGTATTTTCTTCAATGCCCGCAATAATGCCAAGTAATCGCTCTTGCGACAGATAATCGTGATCTGAAAGAACCGATTCAATGCACGTTGACAAATTTTGCGACTGACTTTGTGCCCAGGCTAATATGCGGTCGTGTTTGGTATGCTCAAAATCACCGTTAACTGGATCGTCACTTGCATGCGTTGTGTTCAAACTGATGACATTCGATGAACTGTGTGAAACACTGTTGTTCGCGCCATTTAGTTTGCTTGTATTCGGTTCAATCATTTCAACATCGGATTCATCGCCCATGATGTTGATGTTGTCGAGTTCGGCCATTAGATCGGCATTATTTTTGTGAATTTGAACACTGTATTTTTTTGTTAGTGCCGCTGATTTAAAATCATTCATATCAAAAGAGTCGGTACTGTTACTTTCACCACATTCATCGTAGGCTCCTTTGCATACCGATGACGATTCAACATTCGGTTTTGTGCCGTTTACTTTTTTCCTATTCATTTTCTTGTATGTTGCACTATTTGTTCTATTTTAAATTGGATTTTTTGGTTTTGTAAATGAACGGAGAATGAATCTCCGTCCAAATTTACATGATAAAATGTTCGACAAAACTTGCGTGTGTTTTCATAAAACTGTTGATCTGAAATAAGAAAAAAGTTGGAAAAAATTGTAGTGCATAAAAATAAAATTGCAAACTCTCTATGGCTACATTGATTCAAAAACAACAAAAAAAAGTGTAAATTCTATAATATTTTAATACATAGCATTTTTGCGCGTTGCACAATGCAATCGTGTTGATTTGCGCGCTCAAAGCGAATCAAGAATTGTGTTAACGGTAAATAATCTGGTTAATTGTTTGTTTTGATTTGTATTCGCTGTTTGGCTGTTGTTATCTCATTCACACCAAACATACATACACATACGCGCACATGCATGCTCTCCAACACTTGTTCGTGTTTGTAACGCATCGAATGACGCCGTGTTCGGTCCGTCAAGTAATTTCTTAGAAAAAAACTACACGGTCAACGCGTTAAATTGCGTAAGTCATTTGACATTTTAAACGATAAAGACGACGACGGCAACAACGAAAAATAAAATTGTTTCCGAGAATTTGAATGATGTTTTCACAATGCATGTATCAGATAATCTACCATATACATGTATAATGAAATTAAACAATTTTAAAAATGCACCCAATGAAAAAGTGCCCAGCATTTTTGGTTAAACTACAAAGCATCAACCACACACAGTTCCTTTTGTGCAAGAAAAAGATGCGTTCGAAAAAAAAGCAGACATTTCCAATTGTTCACACAAACGAACCGAAGTATGTGTTGGTGGCGTGACAATTCATAAATTGCATTTGTATTCCGTGTTGTCCTTCGCATCCATTTCGACCGATTCTTGTTCTCACTCACACTCCAAAGAATGGCTGCAAGAATAGTGCAATATAAACAGCAGCATCTAAACACACATATACGTACTGCAAAATTGCTAGGATATCTGTGGCTGTGTGTTTTGTGCAAATGTTGTGCTATTACAAAAAAAAAGCGAAACACATATCTTGAAAAACGCATCAGCGCACAAATCGTAAACTTGTAAAAAAAGGAAAAAGAGACGATTGAAAAGAAAATTGTTCTGTCGACGAGGTGAAGAAAAGCAGCGATGAAAATATTTAATGAGTTGGTTCGTTGAATTATACAAAGATGTTTTTTAACATTTCTTTTATTTTGCTTTGAAATGTACTCGATTTCATCAGAGAAAAAAAAAGTTTTTCAAAGAAACTTAAACTTACATCGAACGCTGTACCTTGTTTGTAATTTTAAACGGTCGCCGATCATTAAAAAAATCTCATGACTTAACACTCGTATACGATAAAATAATTTGTATTAGAAAAATTACACACCGTAATTAGAATCACCTCACCACAAATCACAGCACACACTATTGTTTTTGTTGCTAACTAAATACAATACATCTTGTCTCACTCGAATGACTGAATAATTGTTTTTTTTTCTTCTTTCTTCAAATGTGTGTCGTTTTACTGCACAAACACAAACGATTCACTTGACTCTATCGATTAAGGTAATTTCGAATTTTTTAGAAAAAAAAATGGATTACCATCGTATTCTGTACGATTGTGATTTGAGTGGTGTAGATGAATTTCTTGTCTTTTTTTCTTGACGTCGTCGTCTTAAATCGTGAATGTCTTAATGTTTTTGTTGGAACTAATTTTTCGTTGATTTTTTTCCCTTTCAACTACAATTCGGGCCGTTGATTTTGCTGTTAATATGTGCACTACTAACTTTGTTCCTCGCCTTAATGCTTTCGCACACAAATGTGAAGATTTGTAACCTTTAAACCAATCAGTTTTCGTCCGAAATGAATGAAAAAGAGATGTGTTTTGTTTGCTAGAACCAAACCGTGTGCACATATTCACATATGAATGGAAATTGTGTACGTGTGTGTTACCACAATGGCTGTCGAAACGTCATGCGAATAACGCGACGCAGTGCAGACAAACGCTTCGGCTCCATTAATTACATGCAATTCCCAAAAGATGGCTGTAGATGCTACGTCTCTATTTCAAAATCAAATTAACTTACATCACTACATTTATTTATTGAGTTTATTTGTTTGTTTGTTACATTTTTGTTTTGTTCGAAATATGGACAAATCTAATTCATTGTAAACTACTGGATCACGTGGACAGGATAATGAGCGATTCGATTGCGTAACATTATTGTTGTGTTCGAGTAAATGAGGTGCAACCAATAAGTAAATTTGCTCTGCCCATGAGGGTAAGGCACAAGTATGTGCAAAACACAATTCCCAGTAGGGTAAACCCAAATGTGCGATGCACATCCGAAGATATTCGGTGAATGAGTCGGCCAAAAATTGCCACTTGTTTGATTGTGTTTCCAGTAAATAGATTTTTGGGTTTATCGACTCCAAAGTTTCAAAAATCAAGCACACCTATATGAATTTTTAAAAAAATATATATTCCAAAAATTGAATTTTTATCTTTATATGGACATGTCTCGCCGACAGAATATTTATCCGCTTAATCCGCTTTTATTGCCCACAAAAGACACACATCGTCTCACCTTTGCAACATCCAAAATTGAGCTTAATTCAAATATTTTCGACCGCAAATTCAGATTTGGTTGCTGATTCGATTTGTCAACATTCCGATGATCATTACTACCGGGCGACTTTTTCGCGTGCGGACTTGTGTTACTCATATGTATCAATTCCACGTAGTCACGAAGCAATGTGATTTGCATCAAATGTGGAAAATTAATGTAACCCACTCGACGCACAACATTCGCTTTGGGCCAAAATATATGCAAAGAAGTAAATTAAACACATTTGTTTTAAAAGCGGATAGAAATAGTTTTGAACAGAAAGAAAAACTCACGTGCATACTGAAAACACCAATGCAATGTAAATCCATCAGTGGACAAATAGAAGCGTTTCATATCGTCGGGTAAGAAAATGTTATGACGTTGTTCAAATGTAGATATCGCTGTACGTTCACATGGTTGCTGCTTATGCAGTGTCACATTTGTTATTCTTGTGATATTATTTAGGAATTGAATTAAATTCAGTGTCAAATTGTTGTAAAATTCATCCTCGGGCGATGATGACTTCACGCTGCTGGTTGATGCCATCATTAAAGTTTTGGTTTTGCTGACGTTTTTCGATTATTAATGCTATCAACAATTTCCCGTTACCATTGACTACAAATAACGATATTTTATCGGTTTATCGAATTTCTAAGCAGATGGCGGACATTTTTTTTTACCTTGAAGTGATGACCGTTATAAAAAATGTGTTTTATCAACTTACGCATTAATTGCTTATTGCAAATTGACGTCAGATATCACGCAATGCAAAAATTATTACTTGATGTGTCCGCAATGATTACTTTGACTCATTTTTGGACTCTTTTATCGATTTGAACAATTCTACTGGCAAGATTAAAATTTTGCTTTAAAAGCAACGACACATCGCTGAAGCGTTAATCGATTTCTTTCTTTCGTTAATTGCGAACATTTCGAAATTGATTCTTTCCGATTCTGTGAAATTAGCTTCTCCAAAATGTTCAAAGTGATATTGGTCGGAATTTCGGTACTATTGCTATTTCAATGTAACATAGTTTCATCTCAAAATGGAAATTCAAATCCAACAACTACCACAAAACCAGCATTTTCAGCATCTTCAACGCAAAAGGTATCGATGACAACGAAAGTAATTCCAACAAACGGTAAACCATTGTCAACATTGCGAACGACAACAATGAAGGGAATTCAAACAACAAGCAAAAACACCGGAGTAAATGGTAAACCAACAGTGCAGACAACAACAGTTAAAGTGAGTCAAACAACACGTAAAGGTTTAGTGACAAATGGAAAACCAACATTGCATATAACGACTGTAAAAGGATTTAAAACAACTGCTAGACCAACAACGGTTAGAAGTACTACAAAAAAAGTTGGGCCAACCAAATTTCCAATTGTTAAACCAGTGACCAAAAAACCTACGCGACCAAATGGTACTACGACTGCAAAGGGCTTTAGAACAACTGTTAGATCTACAACGAGCAGAAGTTCTACAAAAAAAGTGGGGCCAACCAAATTCCCGATTGTTAAACCAGTGACCAAAAAACCTACGCGACCAAATGGAACTACGACTGCAAATGGGTTTAGAACAACTGTTAGATCTACAACGGGCAGACGTACTACAAAAAAAGTAACCAAAAAATCTACGCCACGACCAAATCGAACTACAGCGTGGAAAAATGTGACAAAGCAAATGTCAACGGCTTCAAAGAATAAACTTATACCAGTTAAAAAAGCTCCAGCTAAAGCAACAACGCCAAAAACACTTTTACGTGCAACAAGTAAACCACCACATTCACAGGCTCAGTCATCGTCGTCCCAAAAATCCAGCTCTAACTCAATCAATGACAAAAAACCACGATTTTGAAATGTATTAACTTTTGCAAATTCAAATAATTTCAAAATTGCCATTTTGACATGTTTCAAAATGTACAAAATTATAATTCCGATGATAGTAATAAATTGAGATTTGGTGTTGGACATTTATGTTTCTTATCATTTGAGTATACGCGAATAAAAACGAAATGAAAGTAAACAAATGTTGTTTTTGTGGGTTTTATTCTAATTCGGAAAATTTGAAAAAGAGAGAACGAGACGTGTGTGTTGACTATCTCCGATTTATTTATTTTCCATGTGCAGCCAATTTGAGTGTGGTAGAATGAAATCGAGTGTAATGTTATCACTTTCCAACCGAAAATTGTCCCATGCCTTTCTCTGTGCTGCTTTGCGGTAAGTTGGCTGCAACACACTATTTTTCATGCTCTTTCTCTCTTACTCGTTCACTGTCGCTATATTTCCATCCATATTTGGCTCCTATTTATATACTTATACACAGATATATGAAGTGTAATAATTATTTAATTCACAATGTGTTTCGTGCATTTTGTCGAAGGAACAAGCATATTATTAAATTCAAAATAGTTTCACTTTAGTTTTCGGTGTTTTGGTGACTTGAGAGATTCTGATGCAGACAGAATTTCCAAAGTATTTCCCATAAAATCATCATTAATTGGTTCTACTGTAAATTTAGCAATAGGGAAAATTGATAGAATGTGTGGTGTAGCAAATACAGGATATGGAGAAGATGGAATTGAGGCTCAATTTAATCTGCGTGCAGAAAGAGGGTTTTTGAGAAACAAAAGCTGTTGTTATTCATTATCTCCAAGCATTTTGCATACATACAGAGAGAGAGAGAGAGAGAGAGAGAGAGAGAGAGAGAGAGAGAGAGAGGCTGGTGTGTGTAACATCCTGGAATTTTGTGCTGCTAATACTGACAATCGTACAAAACAACATACATACTTTATATGTATAAACTCTAAATGCATATTATATTGTACAACATACATGGAATACAAACTATTGAGAGGAACCGTGTCGATAGCGATTGCGTTAGAGTAAGAGTTTCAGCTACCCATTAAAATTTCAAGCAGATTTATTTTGAAATTTGCCTGATATGTTTTATAATGGCCTTTGAAATCGGGCATATTTTCAATAAGTGCCATACTACAAGTGCTACACATGCTATTAATAATACGCTTTTCCGAAAATTTTCAAACAAACACACATCATTTTCAAGCACAGCCAACACACAAAAGGGATTTGCATTATTATCTGACGATGCATAAATAAAACCATAGACATTCACACTCACGTAAATAAATAGAGACGATTTGGTGTGTAGAAAGAGAGAGCGATATAGAGTGTGTGCAAACGAGAAGGTTGCATAGCAGCACCATTTCGCAAAATGCCATCACACATCCAGTGGTCGTATGGAAGAATCTATTCTCGAGAACAACCGAACCGACAAAAACAAAAGCAGAGAAAAAAGGAGAACGACCACATCAGAACCATAATCAGCAGTGCACGAAACGGTCAAACCGAAATATGTACGTAAAGATTGAACGAATATTTTGTTGTCGGCTGTAAATTTCGTAGAAGGTGGATGGATTTCTTCTTTTAATATTTCTCCGTCTCTTTGCATGAGATGATTCTGGTGTGGTTGTGCTTTGTTATCAATATGTCTCCATCGTTCTGATTCAAATTCTTTATTCGTCCTTTTCATGTGTTTTCTCACGGCATTGCCATTATATCGTATTCTATATAGCTTGAAAATGATGATGTTTCGCTCAATCATAAACCCATAATAGCGAAATATTTTATAATTCACTTCGTAGAGATTCGATGCCTAATACTCTTTATTCAAAGGTAATATTGACTACAGTGTGAATATATGTACCTAAGAATGAGTCATTCAAAAGAAATTGAAATTTTCGGTTTATTGCTGAATCTAATACACGTATTTGGTTGAATATTGGTATTGGTTTTGATGCTTGAGACTTATTGTGGTCAAAAACTATGACGAATAAGCGTGTAAATGTACCTCATTTTCAACGCAGACCATAGATCTATCTAAATGCGTAACAATTTGAAATTAACATTTGATTTGTACTATTCAAATTCACAACAGTACCATTACCATTGGCTTTTGATGCATGCTCCTAATGGTCTGCTTTTTGGTATCGCGTTGTTGTGTGTGTATTGATTGGTCGGTGGATGTGGTACCAAAAATACATATGCGGTATTTTCAGTATATAACAATTGGTATCTATTTTCAGATAGATACAGATATCTATTCATCGCATATTGAACGCAGTTTATCACTTTATTTTATTTAATTTTTGAACTTCGGTTAGCCCTACATGGTCTCACTCCATCCGTCTCATGGAGAAATGTTATTTCATTTTGTTGTTGTTGTTGTTTTGCGTTTATTATTGTGTTATTATTATTGCTGTTGTGTTCGGTGTGTATTTATTATTTCGATTTTTGGTCGATTTCAATTCGATGGCTTTTGGGAGATATAAAATGCTCACGATTGTTTGAGTAGCTATAAAATTACAACAACAACAATTACAATTGTTGTTACAATTTTAATAATATTGCATGTTGTTCGTGAAAAGTTAAATGATTACATGCAAATTGGAAGGTTGATAAAAATACATATACAAAAAAACCCATTTTCAGTCGAATCCATTGTGTGCATGTGTCAATGAATATATATTCGAAATATATTTTGTCTGAGTATTTTTAGCGGTGGCGACGACAGCATTTTTCTCTGTCTTTTTCCTTTCATTTTAATTTTTCTTTTTTTTTGTGCGTCATTTTGGCTCGTCACATATCTATTTATTCAAATTAAATGCGGTTTGAGTATTTCGTGTACATTGTACACATTAACAAATACACTAGCCGGCCCAATGAGCATAACAATGTTTTTCGAACACATATTAATGGTATCTACCAAAAACTTTTTCAAATAAAACAACAATAAAGCACACAATGTACATATTCACAAATAGAGCGTTTAACCAAAAATCTGATCGGAATAAAACATCACCGTCCCATTAGCGAAGAGTCAACAGACCGACACCGAATTCATAACGGTCTACGGTAACAACGACGACAGCGGCGGTGGCGGCGATGGCGGCGGCAATGAACAAAAAACAAAAAGCACACACAACACTAAAAATTGATAGAGAGATATGATACAGCAATTAAGTGAATAGTAAATGGGATTTAAAAATATAATGGAAACTCACGGAAAAAATAAATACCCGACATATATATCGGTTCAACATGTTATCTAATTTCGATAATTGTTTATTAATTAGTTGTAATTAAATAGATACGCTCTCAAAGTTGGCTTTTTTTTCACATAATGTGTATGTTTTGTTTTGTGGCGGTGTTGATTTTGATTTATCTATTTGCTTTGTGTTCATGTTTTTTTTTTCATTGCATCAGAAGTGGTGGTGTATCAAATCACGTATTTCAATTCCGATCAAATAACAACACAAAAAAAATTGAAAGACAGAAGAGATCATTGAAAATATAACAAGAGCTGAACAACAACTTAACTTTTTTTTTATTTCAAACAGAAAGAAAAATTTATAGATACCAATTATGTCTATTCAACTCATTTCGATTGATTATTTGAATTGAAATCTCTCCCTTCTCTCACTCTCTTTCATGTTTTTCCTTTTCTCACTCTCTTTATT